CCCAGAATTCCTCAGCCAGCTGCTGGCTGAGGAATTCTGGGAGTTGAAGTGCACAAGTCTTAAACTTGCCACGGTTGAGGACCCCTGCTTTAGACAGCATGACTCTATTATAGAATGCATTCCCAGTGCTATTTCCAATTCAAAGTAAAGATACTTAGATTAATATTGCTGTTTTTAATGTAGTAATAAAAACTGTAAACTGTAATATGCAGCCGGTACATTGATTATGTAGTTTTCCAAGAACATATTAAGAATATTTATGTTGCGCCACATAAAGCAGAAATGGCACATCCAATCAGTAGGTTTATTTCTCAACCCCACCTCTCCTTGTAGACAAAGAAAAATTCTTATCTCCAAACAGTTGCTGACTGAAGATAAGAGCTTTCCCTTAACCTGGGCACAAATAGGTGATTAAAAATAAGAGTGATTTTGCTACTTCTTTCTGGAATCAATCTTTTAAAAAATTTCAAGAGGCCTTAATTGCACAATAATTAAATATTCTGGAAGGAATATTTAGTTATCAAGGAAAATACAGAAGTTGAAGTCACCTTAAAGACATTTTTAAAAGTCCTTAGAGGCCATGTTGGGAAGAAATCCCAATGGAATTTTTGATGAAATTAGGCTTTTAAAAAAATCTCCATTGAGGCAGCTTAAGAACACCCGGCAAGGAAATGACTACTTGCCTTTTATCATCAGCAGCCTAAAACCTCCATTATCTTCAATTGTGGTTCTTAAAAACCTAATTGTTATTTAGAGCGCAGTTATTTTTTTCTGTGTAGGGAGCCCTGATAGTTTGGGGAGAAGTGTATTTGGACTGGATAATGCTTGGACAGGGTAAAGCTGAAAGAATGGGAAACAAGAAGGGTGAGATTTGCATGTGGCTTCATAAAAATATATTTGGAGCTCTATGTCTATTGGCCCAGCTCACCCACTCAAAACAATGGCCCCAACTAATCCTGGGATGGCATTCTAGCAAGTGTTACCATCCATTCCTGACAGTTTGGTCCTTGGTTCCAAATAGATTCTTCTCTCAAGTTTAATTGTTGAATTAATAAAACTGGTTTGAACATCTCCAAGATCATTTCTGGAGGATCCTCTGGAATGGATTATGGCAAATGGTTGGATGGGAGATTAGAAAGTCCAATCGCATTAGTGGATTTCCATTTACACAATATTGGATTTGAGTAAATGCTTCCTGTCCTGACCCATCAATGAGAACATGTGATATTTTTATGGGTTTATACAAAATGAACTTTGTGTTAATAAACTGCATTAAAAAGTGCATTACCCAGAGCTATAATTTAACCAGTTTCCATAAACTCTCTACAAATATGCAAATATTTTACACCTTGATATAACAAGATTTTGAAATTAAGGAAAAGCTTATTTATTCTTAATTTCCTAAAGAGGATGATTTAGAAGAAGCAAGCAGCCTAAAGGAAAATATGTGTGGAAGAAACTTCATGCAAAGGATTCCATTTCTCCTCCCACATATTTTCCTGTAGGCTGCTTGCTTCTTCTAAATCATCCTCATTAGGAAATTAAGAATAAACTTTTCCTTAATTTAAAAATCTTGTTATAGCATATTTATTTAAATTACTTAAAAACAGTTTAGAATGTCATTTGTTTTCTGTCTCAAAAACAAACCAATATTACTTACAGGGTTGTAAATTTCAATCCATTCATTACTTTTTGACTCCACAAACTTGCCATCAATGAACAATTTGGTTGTTGGCTATAGAATACAAAATGCTGGTTAACGCATACCAAATGTTGTAAAAGCAAGATCAGATTACTCTTTGCACTTAATAAAACTCATATTAATTCTATTTGTCCCCATTTGCTATTCATGGTATCTTTTACAAAAACAGAACTCTTTTATTTTTGATTAATGTTAATGAATCTCAAAGTAAGTGGATCAAAAATTCCTGACAGCACAATCTGCAAGACTGTTAAAGCCATTTTTATTACAATAAGCAGTTAAGCCCACTCTAGTTACTCCTCTTTTTGTTGACAATAATATGTTTTGCTCTAAGGCCAAAGTATCCCAGACAAAGTGATGCTGCCCTAGTCTTAACTGTTGTTTTACTTTAAAGTTGACCAGAATGCTATTCATCTCCATCTACAAGTTGAGACAAATAACACATAATGGAGAAACATTTGCTTAATTCTAAGTTAATCTTTGTTTTCTTTCAAAAATAACTTACCACTGAAGTGGAGGAAATAAATGATGAGGAATGCCAGTTGAAATTTGTCTTCCTAGAGATCTATAAGGCAAAAGGGAAACAGAACCAACTAAGCACATCTATCCTACATTTCAAGAAGAAATCCAACTAACTTAAACTTGCCCAGAAGTGAGAAGCGAAGACACACCACATTCAGTTTTCTAAATTTTAATAATCACAGCAATAATCCTATTATTAATATATTCTAGTGTTAGTAGCTTTAGTTGAATCAGGAAGTAAATAGATCCCATATACAAATAAAATATTGAAATAAGGTTGCTCCTATTAATAAAGGCACACCGATAACTGCTTAACTAAAGTTTTACATAGCCCTTATTTCAAAAAGGTAATTGTAAAATTCACAGTATAATTTGAAAGGCAATACAACAGAGGCAAAAGTAAATCTCAAAAAATTCAGTCATAAAATATTGTACTTACATTGACCACCAGGAGGCATTACATTACTTGTTTCATCTTTATTGGGAATTATCAGATGCTGGTAGTCAGTTTTTATAGGAGTCAAACCTTTTACTGATAATCTCATGTACCTTCATATTTTTTTAAAATATATATATAGTGTATTCACTTTAGAAATTATCCATGTGCTGATGCTTGGCAGTTGCAGGAAAAGATATTTAGAAGTTACCAGTACTGCAAGGTTTTGGATTGTCTTTTAAGTAGCTATTGCTGTTTCTCTTTATTACTTTTTCTCATTGTAGAATGTAATATGAAAGATATTTTTGAATAGGTCACTCTAGTTGAAGAAAATTAAAAGAAGTTATGCTTCTGTCTAAGAATTCTGTAATGTTTCCTTCCAATTGTGTAGGAAAATCAGCAGTAAACAATTTCCAGTACTTTCTGACTAATTGATTTAAAACTTTTTCACCAAGAGCTCAGAGGCATATATGGGAATCTTCCTATATTTTATTCCCACAATAGCAAGCTTGATAGCAAACATGGACTCAAACCATTGCTGTTCCAATACCTTAAATGCTTCCATGTTACATTTGACCTTAATAGGACATTATCACTTGAAATAGGCCTGAGTGTTCAGGCCTATAGTCCATATGTTACTTCACCATGTAACATTTCCTAGCAAAGAAACTAATATAGATATTGAATGGAGAAAAGTCACAATGTTCCCTTTAGTAGAAACATAATGCTCCTTAACAATCACCACTACCATCTGCCCTCCTTTGGAAAAAAAAAGGCTTGATTTTGGTTAAGTTTATTTATTTATCAACTTCTACCTCACTTCATATTCCTCTCTAAGAGGTAGGAATCTTATTGTCTCAAAATCTTTACAAATTCTCTTTGACAGTCCCAGGAATCCACAAATGAGGTGGGAGAGGGGACTCTGCACTTTCCCACAGCCCATAATCCCCCCTCCCTCCGGCCCTTGGGTCCCAATCTTCATCAGTGCCCCCACAAGTGCAGCCTTCCAGCTGATATATTTGCAGACAATTTAAAGTAGGCAAGGCTGTCCTATACGCAGAACAGCTTATAAGAAGAAGACCAACACTAACTAATGCAGTGTTTCTCAACCTTGACCATTTTAAGGCATGTGGACTTCAACTCCCAGAATTCCACAGCCAGCAATGCTGGCTGTGGAATTCTGGGAGTTGAAGTCCACATGCCTTAAAATGGTCAAGGTTGAGAAACACTGCACTAAAGGGTAGGCAGCTTTTCGTTTTCTGCTGGAGTTGCAAGGTAATCAGCGTCTGGCCCACAAGGGAACCTAATGGACTTTGGCTCGATCTGAAAAAGGCCTTTCTCAAGCTAGCCGTGCCCACGCAGAGCAGACTTTTGCGCAGATCTCGGGATCCTAATCCGGTCTCTCTTTCTTTGAGACCGCCCTTTCAGTTAACTCGCCGCCGATCTGAAGTTTACAAAAAACCTAAGCTAGTTCTTGCCAGCTGCTGCGTGATCTCATCGAGGGCGACCCAGATGTTAAAAAGGCTCCTTTGCCCGGAGGAAACCTACCAAGCAGACAATCATCGAAGGTCTACCTTGTTCTAGGGCAGGGGTAGTCAACCTTGGCTCTTTTATGACTCGTGGACTTCAACTCCCAGAATTCCTGAGCCAGCTAAGCTAAGCTAAGCTAAGCTGGCTCAGGAATTCTGGGAGTTGAAGTCCACGAGTCATAAAAGAGCCAAGGTTGACTACCCCTGTTCTAGGGCAAAACGCCACCGCCTTTAGGGAACAGAAGCCACTCAACCGTGAGGACTTAAGAGCAGTGCGCAAAATGCCACGGACGAGAAGGATCTCCCCGCCACGCCAACGGCAGCGCTGAACTCCGCACGTGCAGGCTAGACGACATCTTCCCCCCCCCTCCCGTCGGGGACACTCCGTCTACTTTCGCGCGACCTCACCTCGAACCAGAAGCGCCGCCCTCCCCGGGACCCCCGAACCGCAGCCACAACCGCCATTCTTCCAACGACCACCTGCCGCCCCGCGCCCTGCCCACTCCCAGCTCAACAGCTGGGCGCCGCCCACCCCTTGCCTTTGGCCAACCCGAACCGCAATCCTTCCCTCCGGGCCGCTCTCTCGAACCAATAGAACATTGAAAGGGCCCAGCTTTCCCCCCCCCCCGCCTTCCCCGTCAAGTGGAGGATTCCATTGGCTGCTTGGCTGTAAACGCCCCCTCCAGGCGGAATTTGAGTGGATAATTTTTCTTTCCCTCAGACGCGACCTCTGGGGTTTGGAAAGAGGCAGAATGTGGGGGGGGAGGTCGGCGGGGGGGGGGAGGAGGTGGAACGTTCCTGGCTCGTCCGAAAAAGAGCTGTCAGAGCGGACTCCCGCGTGAAACGGGTGGGTGGAGATTCGGTTGTCATGTGATGGCCTAAGATGGCGGTCTCTGCTGAAGGTAAGAGACGTTGAGGAAGGCGGATGGGGTTTGTAGTATTCCGTCTTCCTAATTGTTATGCTCGCCGTTGAACTATTTTTTGAGGAAGCGTGTATTGATTTCGGGGATAATTAGCCACTTTCTCCTCGTTCAGCGTTGTCCGATTCTCCGAGACAGCTTTCTTGGTAAGGTTTTTCCAAAGCGGTTTGCCATTGCCTCCTTAGGGCTAAGAGTGACTGGCCCACGGTCACCCAGCTGGCTTTGTGCCTAAGGCGGGACTAGAACTCGGGGTCTGCCAGTTTCTAGCTCAGTGTTTCTCAACCTTGACAATTTTAAGGCATGTGGACTTCAACTCCCAGAATTCCACAGCCAGCATTGCTGGCTGTGGAATTCTGGGAGTTGAAGTCCACATGCCTTAAAATTGTCAAGGTTGAGAAACACTGATGCCTTAACCACTCAACCAGGCTGGGTTTCTAATTCGCCATCAGCCCCTTAAACGCAGGAGGGAACGCTGTCTTTTGGGTATAATTGGACTTCACTTCTGAACAAATATGCTTAGAACCTTGTTTGACAGAAGCTCATTGTGAAACGAATCGTTGTTAAAATAACTATTAGGATTTCAATTAGATCTCTGGTTAGTCTGACCCTGTTCTTAGTAGTAATCTATACAATTATCTCAGGGATGACAGTTGGCTTGTGCTTTGTATCACTAAGTGCCAACGGTGGAAAACAAGGTGAAGGTTGTAATTCTGGAGTAAATCAGACTTTTCCAACTTGCCTTCCAGATGCAATCCTTGTATGCTGGAAGTCAAAAGGCCAGGAAAGTGTGTGGTAGTTCGGTTTGGGGCAGATGAGCTACTGTATTGTACTGTACTGTAAATTCTATTGTAGAAACTTTTCTGTTTCTTAATAAAAGAAGCTTGGGAAAAAATCCTTTTTGCATGGAATCTATGAAATGGCTGCTAGACATAGTAAGTATTTATTAAATTTAAATGCTGCCCATTTGACCAATACAGTGAACTCTAGGCAACTTACAATGTGATAAAAACTAAAAAAAAACTACTAAAGAATTAAAATTAAAAGAAGTAAAGTTAAAAACCAAGATGATAAGTGGCCTGAGGGTGGGGATCTTCTCCGATCAGTCAGCCACTGCAACATAGCAGGCCCCTGTTCTGTGTCCCAGACCAAGCAGCAGAGCCACGTTTTCAGGCTCTTTTGGAAGGTCTGGAATGTGAGGGTGGACCTCACCTCCAGTAGGAGAATATTCCAGAGGACGGAAGCTGCAGTAGAAAAGGCTCTTTTTCCTAGACCCCGTTAGCAGAAGTTCTTTGGCACATGGCACCTTTCCTCATGGCGACACCTTTGTCACAAATGTGCTCTTCCATTTTTTCTGTCACATGATGTTGCTTTCCTCTTCAGCTGATTAAAAAGACAGGTTTAAGTTATCTGTATTGTATTAGCGGTAAAGTCTTGTTTTCCTCTTTATTCTGACATTATCCAGGGATAGCTTTCAGGGGGGGCAAAAATTGTTAAGAGGCTTTGTCATCTATCACTTTGGAAGAAAGTCAGATGACTGCAGTAATTGGGAACAAAGGTAGTGAAAGAGCTTAGGAATTAGCAATGCTGGTGTATTATTCTGCAAGTTCAAAGATGAGTGGATCAGCAGTGAGAAAGGACCTAAGCTATGGTTCTTAAACTGGGGGAATTGTCCCCAAAGGGACATTGACATATCCTGGGTGTTGTGGAGCAATTTGTAATTGTTTATGAATCAGGGTCCAGACTGCTGCTGTTGAGATGCATGTATAAAACAACAGTCTGTTTGGGGGGGGGAATGACATTATTTGAGGCCAGGAAAAAGGGTAATTGTGTTAAACAATTTAAGAACCAATGACCTAAACAATGCAGAGCTACATGAATAAAATAAGATTAACCTTTATTGTCAGTTTTTATTGTGGGCACACTGGCACATATTAAAAATGAAATTCTGTTGCCTGCTCTCAAAAGTGTATACATACGTAACACACATATAAACATGCTATATACAATATATGTATATACCTATACCCTTACAAATAAACATATAAATATTAATCACTGTCCATCTTGAAATAATCTGATTAGGATAAATCATATGCTTGTGATGATTTGCCAGTTGCAAAATCTGATCTCTTCTTAGTAACTACAGTATACCCAGAATAGTTCAGTTTAGCCAATCTTCCAAAGAAATATGCCTAGGGGCATAACATTATCAATGTAGTGTAATTGAAATATTGCAGTTTGAGAGGCAAATTGTTTCTTTTTCATGTTCCACATCTTAAGAGATTTTGTGCACCACAGGTAAACGTTACACAGTAGTCTAAAATGGTGCTGCTATGTTGGTGTATTTTGGCTTATAAATATGTTAATTAATATAATTCTAGGTTCAGACTTGGAAGCCTCATTGCTGAGCTTTGAAAAGTTGGACAGGGCATCTCCAGATCTGTGGCCAGAGCAATGTAAGTAGTAATTGAATAAGTAAATTATTGTGGATTACTCTAATGTGAATCAACTTTAGACTCTACATCTAAAGAGTTATTTCTAGTAAGATGCTATTGTAAGGATTAATAATTAGACCTTTTAGATTTCCTAAGGTATGGGAAAAGGCCCTTTTTGAGACATAGGTCTAGGTTTCTAAAAATTTTGGCTAGCTCATAGGAAATATATTCAATATTATATAACATTATATGGCTAATCTAATATAGGATTACATAGTTTTTTAAAATGCTGAATAGTTTTAAGTATCATGCCAGGGCTGTTCAAAAATTATGCAGAGCTAGAATGAAAATTAAGTTTTTTGCAGGATCCAATCTGGGTCGTCACCAGGATCAGAGGTTTTATCTTCTGAGCTTTTGGACACATGCTGGAGCTCATCCTTAGGGAACTTCTCTGTGTACAAAGCACATAGAGAAGCTCCCTGTGGATGGGTGCTCCAGCACGAGTCCAAAAGCTCAGAAGACAAAACCTCTGGTTCCTGTAACTGACCCAGATTGGATCCTGTAACATTATTCTGGGACACATATATTTGCCTTTATTTGTGATTACATTTTCTCTTATTTAATTTACATTTAAACATAATAAAGTGTTAATGAAATATGTTATTTCCTATTTACTGAGTAGTTCAGAGGTAAAATATAATTTTATACAACTGGGTCTCTATCTTTTTTCCCATGTTTCTAAATTACAAAAGAGTATCATGGCCTATATAGGGTATTATTGTCTTTTGTACCGAGGTTTTCTTCACTCCTTATTTCTACTGGAAAAAGTAAGTAAGTAGAATCTCATTGCCTTATTAAGAAAAACAGTAAGAGTTACATAAATGGTTATATTTGCATTTAGTGCACTTCCAAAGAATTGTTATTGCCATATATTTGAGCAAAAAAGAAAAGATTATGTAGGTGTTCAACATATTTCAACCTGAATGAGATGAAAAATCTGAATAATTATTTGAATGTGAATAATAATTACTTGCTCATATTAAAAACATCATCAGAATAATTTTAAAAATGGGCAAGTGAATCCTTTAACCATTTTGAGTTAATATTTGAGATTGGAGTAGAAAACAGTATCTATGAAAAAATATACAGTATGGATCGTTAAAATGTTGGTAAGATACATCAAAGGTAAGGCAAGAACCAGATCATGATATGGGAAGTAAGTTGATAGTACATATGTATGAGTTTTTACTGTGATAAGCCAGATGTGGCATTTAAACGGTGTTTGTTTACACTGATGATTCTATCATAAGCTGTCCTATTAAAATATTGCTTTTAACATGCTAAAATTTGAGCAAGTTTATTCATAGGCAGAGATTTAAAAGAGTTCAAGAAGGTAATCTTGCATAATTTATTTCAGAAGTAATTCTGTTGAGCCTGTGCACATTTACCCAGAAATAAATAATACTGAATTTTGTGAATAGATATGTAGGGTTAACTGTAATGCTACGGTTTTATTTTTTTTAAAAAAGTAGTATGGATGAAAAGATGGCTTGGTGATCATCAAAAAAATATATAGTATAATATAGTCAATAACCATTGAATACCGATGGTATAGAAATATAGCTTTATAGCTTACCTGAGACCCAGAATTGAGCATAAAATTAACATATGTGCTGAATTAAAATATAGCAGTTTAATTGACAGAAATGGTAATTGCTTTCAAAGTTGTATAAACAATAGTAAAAAACAACTAAAATACATTAACTACCGTATGTCTATCTTGTCTCCAGTACCAGGTGTTGCTGAATTTGCAGCTTCTTTTAAAAGTGTAAGTATAATAATAGATATTTGACATAGACATTTCAGTCCTAAAATTCTATGGAAAATAGAGCTTATCACAAAAAAACAGCTAAAGTAGAAAATAATTGAAAAATTATAAATGCCTAGAAAAATCACTGGGACTATTTATTTTTTATTTTCTTGCTAGGTTTTCATACTATAATTTTTTCCCTCATGCAGTAACAAGCAAGATTTTACCCCAGCAAGATGATATTGGCTTTAAAAAAATAGTCTTTACTTTGCTGCCTTGAAAAGAATTGTTTTATTGGATATAGTAATCTATTTTAGAAATATTTTATTTAATCAGAGTAGAAGTTTGTAAAATATTATAGTTCTGCATTTCAATTAGTTATTGTAAGTTTTTAAAGGTTTCTAAAAAATAATTTGTTTATGAATGTTTGTTCTTAATAGCCCATCACCAGTTCTCCACCTAAATGGATGGCTGAATTAGAAAATGATGATATTGACATGTTGAGAGGTGAGTTTCTAGTCAGTGCTTGATAAAAATCATTTTTATATTAAATATATGGTTAATATTAGATTGAATTGTCATATAAAGATCAGTTGAGCTTTCTTATCTTTCATTTTGAGTCTACCATATAGTGAAGAAATCAACATAATTATTAGGTCCAATAATTATGACACTTTTTAAGTATAAACTTTGGAGATAAATGAGTTTAATTTGAGATCCATGCATTCAAAGCTTTCCAAGCTTTGTATGACTCCCTTTAGGACCCACCTTCTACCATGGCCATTTCTTGCTCGTGCTGAGTCCTTGGGAGCTTTGCAGAGTATTTTCCTCTCCACACAAACAACCTCCAGAAAGAATTTCTTTGCTGTCTTCATTCTCCTCCTCCCCTTTTTTTAAAAAAAATCAAACCCCTGGGAGTTTCTTCTCTATTCTTCAGCCTGCCAGTCACTCATCAAGGCAAGTAACTTACAGATTTTGACATCCTCTTTCCAGGCATGAAATAAATTTAGTATATTAAGTGGTTAAAGGGGATTGAGATTGGAGGGCGGAGGGTTTAGCTTCAGCATCTAATGGGATGGGGGGGGGAGAAAGATCAATAAAGCTTTTTTTCCCCTGTTTTCTTTAATGAAAAAAATGTGGGCTTGTGGGGGAGGGAGGGAGGGAGGGAGTAAAGCAAGGGAAAGGTTTTGGGAAGTTGACCCAGAGGTACATCTTTGCATGAAGGGAGCTGGTTTTCCCAAACCTAGTAAGACCCAGGAAAGGCCTGCAATCTCCTGAATGCCAGCTGATTGAGACAGAGGCCGAGCCCATAAGCGCAAGTTTATTCTTTCTGCAGAACGCCACCAGTGGATGCATCACTAAGCTTCCTCACTTCCTTTCAAAGCATCAGGACATCTCATGGACAAGCAGTTAGATTTGTTTGGAAGCCTCTTTGGCATTGGAACACAGTGCTGGGCCCTAATCTAGCTGGGTTCCCCCTCCCAACACAGCTAGGCTGTTTTTGGCTTTGCAAAGCTTTTTGCTTTCTAAGCTCAGCTGGGTGGTAGGCCTCCCAGGGCCTCTCCCACCCCTGAGGCACCTCATGCTCCGCTTAATGACCATGTGGTTGTTTAATGACTGCATCAGAGTGGGCAGAGGATGGGATTCATTAAGCAAGCCCATCTTGCTTAACAGTCATTACGAGTTGCACCCATAATGGGCAAGTTCCATTACAATTGTAGGTTGACAGTTACCTGTGTACATCAGACTACAGAGCTTCTGCTGTAAATGTGCTTTTAATTCCATCTCTAAGTAAACTTGAGTGCAAAAAGATCAAGATGCACATAAGCTCTTGCTCATCTATGTTACATGAAAATACAAGTCTGTAAGTTAATGATCAAAAGGGAAGGTTTCACATACTTTCTGTATGCCAAAAAGAATTAAGCAGACCCATATATTAATATCATTTTTAATTTTTATATTAATTCCCTGGTCAAACATCTGCTTCATCTACAGTATATCTCCATCTCAACAAGTTAGCCTGCAAGCAGAAGCCAGTTGGAGTATATACTGATATTGCAGTGGTTTATATCAGTTTTTTTAAAACTGTGAGGTGTATATCTGTTGAGAAAACTATTGCAGTGTTTGCCAAGAGACCTATAATAAGCAACTGACAATTTCAAGATAGCAATATCAAATACTAAAGTATTTAATATATATGGATATTTTTTTTAATAAAAAAATCTTGGACAAGAGAAAAGCTTAAATGCAACATGTGCGGACTGTCTAGAGATACACTGCTGCAATCCTGATATTTTTCTGCTTGATAAGGGAATAATGATTATTGCTGCCATCAGATTATTTGCTACTGAGTCTTTGCCACATTTACTCTGTGAAACTCATGTTCTAACAATGCATATTTGATAATTATATTCCCAGTTCTCAGATTTGCACCTAATGCAATCTGAAGTTCATAGAATGGGGAAAATCAATATGCATTATAAATTTTAGCTAAAGCTAAACTCTTGTTTGCTGGATTTGGTCTCCTAAACAGCCGCAAAGAAGCATCAGTATTATTAAACAAGTTGATGTCTTTCTGCAGAGCTCTTGTAATCCATGAAATATGGATAAGCCAGAGTGACTCTTAAAAGACCACATTACAAGACACATAGAATTACAGAACCATATGAGTTAATATCCGCTGCTTATAGTGATTAAATATTAATATGGAGTTGAATAACTACACTATATAGTCACAACCCTTGAATTCTTAACCAAAACACCATTAAAAATGTGCCACCCGCAGATAAGCCAATCCTTGAAATTTTCATGTTTTGGTTTTCCCAATTGGCTCAGCTGCAGGGAATCCATTTTCTATGGTATTTTAATTAAAAATTCAAGGATAGGCTTACCTGTGGATGAGTTTATATATGAGTATATATAGGGTATATAGGTACTTTAACAAAGTATTAGCATATATACCTGCAGATAAGCCCTTCTGTGGATAAACCAAACCCAATTTTGCGGGTATATTTGACAACTACAATTCTCTGCTTATCCATAAGTATATTTGATACTTCATTATCTTGGAATTGCCTAATTATAGCAGTTTTCTGTCATAGCCATTCTAATGTAATGCCCATCTGGCTTCTTGGAGGCAATTTAATAAGTTTTCCTATCAGGAATCTTCAAATCCATTGAGTCAATATCAAAAGTAACAGAACAAAGTGAAAAATATGTCCATGGAGTTTAGATGTAGTCAAAACAGTCCTGCTTTATTGTATGTATAACAGCAATATGTGGAAAAAGTAACTTCATCTGTTTACATTATATCTTCCAGGTTGTCCAGATGATAATTACAATATATCTTTTCCTTACTATCAGATAGTTACTCGGGTGTTACATGGAATCGCAATAGCAATAGCACTTAGACCACGGGTATCAAACTCACTGCGTCACGTGATGTGTCGTGACGTATCATGACTTCTTTTGCATTGCCAGAGCTGGGGTGGGCGTGGCCTCCTCATGATGCAACCAGCCCATGGGCCGGCAGTTTGACACCCCCGACTTAGACTTACTGTATATACTGCCTCACAGTGCCCTAACCTTTACAACCCTCTGTAAGTGGTTTACAAAGTCAGCATATTGCTCCTAACAATTTGGTTCCTCATTTTACCAAGGATGGAAGGTTGAGTCAACCTTGAGGTGGTCAGGATCGAATTGCTCTTATAAATGTAGTCTCTGTGTAAAACCAGATATCGTGTCTCCTCTAAAAATAGTGAATTTCATTACATACAGAATTTGAACAACTATTACATCAAATTGCCTTTACTTTTTGCTTGGTTATTATTATAGGTAGTCCTCGACTTACACCCACAATTGAGCCCAAAATTTCTGTTGCCAAGTGAGACAGTTGTCAAGTGAGTTTTGCCTCATTTTATCACCTTTCTTGTCACAATTGTTAAGTGAATCATGGAAGTTACACTAATAATACAGTTAAGTGAATCTGGCTTCCCCATTGACTTTGCTTGTCAGAAATTTGCAAAAGATGATCACATGACCCAAAAACACTGCAACAGTCATAAATATGAATCAATTGCCAAGTGTCTGAATTTTTATCATGTGATCATAGGGGATGCAATGGTTGTAAGTGTGAAAAATGGTCATAAGTCACTTTTTTCAGTGCTCTTGTAACTTTGATTGGTCTCTAAATAAATGCTTGTAAGTCAAGGACTATCTGCATTAGGAGTTTGATTCTAATAAAAGCATGATTCATTCATTATTATTTCATGACAAAGTTTGTAAACTACACACTTTCTTTTAGAGCTGGGAAGTCTCACTACAGCTAATCTGATGGAGAAGGTTAGAGGTTTACAGAATTTGGCATATCAGTTGGGACTGGATGAATGTAAGTACTGAACAGATACAAAAAATACAGTAGGTTCATTGCATATGTTTATGTACAGTCATATGATTATGTACATTCTATTCATACTAATTAACTATAGCAGTGATGGCGAACCTTTTAGAGACTGAGTGCCCAAACTGCAACCTAAAACCCACTTATGCATCGTCGAGTGCCGGGTGGGTATGGCCCATTGGCTGGGTGTGGCCAATTGGGTGGGCATGGCCAATTCGGTGGGCATGGCTGCAGTGGTAACAGCAGACTGGGTGGGACTAAAAGGTTCAGTCAATCAATTCCAACTTTGCAAGAACTTTTTTTTTCCCTCGAGAAGTTGAAATTGACTGATTGAACCTTTTTTTTTTTTGCACATGGCGGCGGAGGCCTAAAGTGAAAAGGTTTTATAAAACCCAGCTGAAGGCCTAGGACTGGGGCGACGAAGCACATGCCCACAGAGAGGGCTCTGAGTGCCGCCTCTGGCAACCGTGTCATATGTTCGCCACCACTGAACTATAGGAATTAGGGTACCATAAAAATTGATAATGGCAGCAATATATTCCATTTTGTACAATTAGTTTATAAAACCTTCGCTATCCTTTGCCTAAAAATGGGAGTTGCTATTGTCTTTCAAGTGATTGTATAAAATTTATTTATTTATTATATATAAATAAATAAATATTCATTCCTCCAGGTCCTTGGTACCCTCCTGTTTATTTTGGTAGTTTGGAATTCCTGCAGTTTGTAATCCACCAAATCCAAAAGGCATTAAATAAAGAAGACTGCTATATGCTAATGTGATCTTCATTTCTAGCAGTTCAGTACTACATTCATTCCTGAAAAGACCAAAACAAGCACCATTTTGCTGACGGCATAAATATCATTCCTAGGTTACATAATATTGAAAAGTTTCTTCATAGATATTTCGGGGCCTGTACCAGCACCATTTTATGAACTGGGCAGCACCTTTTTAGATTCGATTCCTAAATGCATTCGCGTTAAAGTCAGGATGTTTATTATCACTATCAAAAAGTAATACAGTGACTGCAGCATTAGAAGAATATATCTACGTACAGTCCTAAGTGTTTAATGCATTTTAGTGAAAAATCTGTTAGCGATGTTTGTCTGCTATGTAATTCATTAATGTAATACAAATGGAACTGTTAAAAATGAAATATGGCAGAAGTGTAGCTTAGAACACTTCACAATGATTCTTGTTATTCAAGATTAAATACTACCTTAATGATTGTAAGACAGTAAAATAACTGTTCGAAAGGTCCAAGAGTCATAGCAAAATAGACCTTACATAGCCTCTGGGTGGCAGCAGATGGCTGATTACTACTGTAATATTGGGAAATACATTTGTAGCTGTTAAGATTTGGAAGCTCCCATTGAACTTCTTAACAATTTTAAGATATGATGATTTGGCAAAATGTAATAAGTTAAATTGTGTTATATATGTTATTTTTCTATTAATGGTCCTCTGTTATCGTATGGAACTTTTATTGAGAATTGTCTTTCTTTATTGGAAGTTATACCAATTTAGGAGTATTTTTTGTAATTAGTTAACATTTAGATTTCAGAGTTAGCCTTTTGAAACCTAACTGGTTCTTCAGTTAGTTCCAGCTGTAAATTTATAATACTTTTTATTAATATTTCCCCTAATAAAGCTGTTACTACATATTCTATGCTGCCACAAAATAATCCTGCTCATTGTGTATTGATGTTGGTAATGAGCAATATACATTGGTAATCCAAGAGAGTGGTCTTCTGTTCCTAAGATTCCTGAGAGAGCATCCCAGAGGCATCACAATTGTAAACCTTCCTCTATGTTCACAAAGAGGGATATTTAAATAGAGTCTTCTTGAAGGTCTGATATGATTGGGCAAGGCTTTCAAAAGGCACACTTCACAAAGCATATTGTAATCAGCAACATATTCTTCCTTGAATTGTTAAAGTAGTCGTGTCTTCTAAAAGGCTTAGTGCTGCTTTCAAAAGCTGTTCCTAGCTATCTGTACATTCAGAAATGAATTCAGAACCAGTGAAGATAATAAAATATTAGCAATATAATCATGTTGGAGCAGTCATATTTTGTCACTCCTATAGATAATACATTGTAATCATCTAAACAAACAATTCCTATTATTCATGGATCACTGAAATCAAGTAGCCTGTCTCTAGCTAAGACCATAGTTGGCATCCTATCTACGCTGGTAAAGTATTCTTTCATATAAAGTTCTTGAAGATCCAACGACAAAGATGGATCTGCAAGCTCCCTAAATTATAAATTTAATGCTTTAAGACACAAGTACATGTTTGAGTAAAAGCTTTTTGCCTTAGAAATACTTTCTTGCATAAGAGAATGTTATGTATATTTTTGATGTTTTCATAGTATCACAACTGACCGAACATGTTAATGGTTGATTGATTATATGCCATCCCTAACCTGCTTTTTCAGATCTTCCAATAGTGAATATGTTAATAAAGTAATTACAGTCATGTAATATAGCTGAATGGAGGGTAGTGCTCCAAAGTAACAGTCCTATAGATCTGTAATGAACTCTTTCCATCTATATAGACTATTAACATTTTCCAATATTTTTGATTACATGCATACGTTAGAAAACTTTTCAGACTTTCAATCTGGTATTTTATCTGCATTAGATTTTTCTGTGGGTAGCAATGACACCCAAACTTAATTGTCTGAGCAGTCTTGAAATGTTCTTATTTTATGTACTTCCTCTCTAGCAAAGGGAAAGTAATCAAGGGCATGATTCCAACACTAGTGAAAGATTTGAGTGTAATAGTAAGAGTTATTTCCCTTGCTTTCCAGACTATCCATATTTGCTTCAAAGATTCTCACAGACCTCTACAGCAGATTTAGAGAAATCATAGAAAGCAGCAAGAAAAGGGGAGGAGTATGATGCTGTGGAGGAAACTAAATGGCCGCCTTTCTATTTGCAGTTTATTTCACTTATGAAAACTTGAGATATTTTTGGTAAGGATTTTTGCCTCAGAGCAAGTATTCAAATGCCAGCTAGAAATTAGGATGTGCGCAAGGCATTTAAATTGGCTAATTTTGGTATATAATGTTCTTAACTACCTTCAGCCTAGGGATCATGACCTCAGCTTTTTATCATCTGTGTTGGATTGTATGCCACTTTTAGAAGTGAAGGTGGTATGGGAACTTTTAATTGTACCTGTGTGATTTATATCCAGTCAGCTCTTTAATTTCTTTTGGCTGTCTGAGGTTTCCGACATGCTGTAAATTTCACCAACTTTTTCATTATCTGCAATTTCTTTATGACTTGTGAATCGGAGTGGAGAGAGAGTGTGGATTTACAGCAGAGATAAACATGTCCATAAAGTCTGTATCTGTGTCAGTAATTGTACTGCTGTCAGTGACTGTCCTGTTTTACAGGGCTCTCTTGGGAAAGAACAGTTTGCTACTAGTGGCAGAGTAGCGTCCAAGTTTATATTAACATATCAGAAGATTAGTTTGCAATGATTGGGGTGGAAATTGAAGCTAGATATTAGTTACTGTTGGTTTTCCCATCCCACTTCTTACTGTTAGCTAATGAATGAATTGAATAATTAATTAATTGAATTGAATAGCTACATTTGAAAGACAAGAAAACCAGAAAGAAAGCAGTTTCATGTGAAAATGTGGTGTAGCTAATAGTGATATAAAATATTAAGTTAATTATATGTAAATTACTTGTAAATACTACTGTAAATACTGTAAATAGTAAACAATTATTTCATTACAAATTTTAATAGAATATAGCAAGATTGCATTCTAAACATTCTACTATGGCTGGTCGCATAGACAGATATTTAGATTGGGTTTAACATTTCTATCTACCTACTGAGTCCTTCTCAAGGACATGATGATGATGATGATGATGATGATGATGATGATGATGATGATGATGATGATGATGATGATGATGGAGGAAAGGACCTTGGAGGTCATCAAGTCCAACCCCCTGCTTAGGAGGGAACCCTATACCATTTCGGACAAATGGCTGTCCAATCTCTTGGGATAGCAGAAATTATTTGATGGTGTAAAGATGTTACAAGATGTAAGATGTTGCATGTAAAGCTGCCTTTTGCAATTGACTGGTGGTGATTTTGTCAATGCTGATAGTATTCAAGTGGTTCTCCAGATGTTTTGGGATTGCACTCAAGGCACCTATTAACAGTTTTACTTCTATTATTATTGCATCAAGACTTCAGTATCAGGAGAAAGAAAATTCTGTGAAGCATTCAGTGTTTACTGCTTCTATGTCAGAGGTCCCCAATCTTTTAGGCACCAGGAACGGTTCCGTGGAGAGAGGTTTTTCCCGCGGACTGGAGGGTGCATGGTTTTGTGTGCTGCCTGCATCCCACGGATGGGGCTTTGCTTGTTTGTGTGGACCATTGCTGGCATGCCGCGGCCTGGTACTGGTCCACAGACCGGGGGTTGGGGACCCCTGTTCTATGTCATCATGTATTGTTGGATAAGGATCAACAAAAAAAATCAAAGATATTTTGTGGCTTTGTAGCTTGTATGCTAGTTTATACACTATGAGATATTTGAAGTAGCAACATGGATGTGCCATGTACTTAATCAGTTTCAATTTTAAGATATTCTGTTTTATAATAACATTCATGAGTGCATTACGATGCCATAATGCTAGCAGCCATATGTAACAGTTGTTTTATATTTGATATAAATGTCCAAATTCTGAAACTGAGAAAGAATTTGTTGGCTCAGGTTGTGAGAAAGCAATCTTCATGGAAGAGCATGTCAGCTGCTGATGTGCCTCTTCCTTATCAGCATTATTCCATCATATGCTGCTCTTACTTTTGCTGGTTTGGGGACTCCTGTACTTGAATCTCAGAGGTAAGCCTTAGCAAAATACCCAGAGATAATAATGTTATATGCGCTTATTTCTCTGGATGCGTGTTCTGAACTATCATTATGTGTGCTAGAATACACAACTTTTTGTCTACTCCCAATTTTC